CCAGCAGTCTCCTGCTATCACTGCTGGCTTAAGAGCTAGCCTGCTGGCCTCTGCAGCCAATCAGGTTGCGTGGTTAATCAGGCAGTCTACTGCAGGCCAGCTGTTGTGATGAGGCTGCCCAGAGATTAGCTTTCCTGCATGCCCAGATTCCTGACACTACAGTTCCTTTGAGGGCACTGTCTAGGGGCCTCGGGACCTGGATTCTCAGGGTAAGTGTTGTGGAAGACATGCAGGAGGATCAGGGCTCTATAGGATCCCATGAACACTCATCTGGGCCATGCCCATGTCAGTCAACTAGACAGTGTAGTTTTCCTTGGACCTGACAAGAATCTAGAATCTGCCAAACCACATTTTCTTCTTGGCCCTGAACGGTTATAGATGGAGAAGAGGGAGCATGTAGTGGTTTTATATAGCCACCTTGTCTAGGGCCCAATAGTCAATACATGGACAGAAGAAACCTTTACAAAAAAGATTGGAGCATCTGCTGGGGATTTGGATGAGTAGATGAAACCCTTCTGAAAGTTTTCCCTCAAATACAGGTGGAGAGCCCAAAGTTTGGGTTCAGAGAGGGCAGATATCTTACCGAATAGGATCTCGGCTTCTGGCTGGAGATCAGTTGGGCAATTGTAAGTCAGATGTGGTGGCAGGATGTCTGCCTTCCCCTTCTCAAAAACATCAGCCAAGTCATGGCATTTGTGGGGGATCTTGGCCACAGCAGGTGAGGCCACACAGGGCCCTGGGGGTCCTCGTGGTCCTGCTGTCTGTGGGTCAGGATCTTCCAGTGGATGACATGTATCATAAATGAGTATCCCAAGGGTCAGTCCTGGGGCCGGTTTTGTTCAATATCTTCATAAATGATCTGGAGGATGGTGTGGATTGCACTCTCAGCAAATTTGTGGATGATACTAAACTGGGAGGAGTGGTAGATACGCTGGAGGGGAGGGATAGGATACAGAAAGACCTAGACAAATTGGAGGATTGGGCCAAAAGAAATCTGATGAGGTTCAATAAGGATAAGTGCAGGGTCCTGCACTTAGGACGGAAGAACCCAATGCACAGCTACAGACTAGGGACCGAATGGCTAGGCAGCAGTTCTGCGGAAAAGGACCTAGGGGTGACAGTGGACGAGAAGCTGGATATGAGTCAGCAGTGTGCCCTTGTTGCCAAGAAGGCCAATGGCATTTTGGGATGTATAAGTAGGGGCATAGCGAGCAGATCGAGGGACGTGATCGTTCCCCTCTATTCGACATTGGTGAGGCCTCATCTGGAGTACTGTGTCCAGTTTTGGGCCCCACACTTCAAGAAGGATGTGGATAAATTGGAGAGAGTCCAGCGAAGGGCAACAAAAATGATTAGGGGACTGGAACACATGAGTTATGAGGAGAGGCTGAGGGAGCTGGGATTGTTTAGCCTGCAGAAGAGAAGAATGAGGGGGGATTTGATAGCTGCTTTCAACTACCTAAAAGGGGGTTCCAAAGAGGATGGCTCTAGACTGTTCTCAATTGTAGCAGATGACAGAACGAGGAGTAATGGTCTCAAGTTGCAGTGGGGGAGATTTAGATTGGATATTAGGAAAAACTTTTTCACTAAGAGGGTGGTGAAACACTGGAATGCGTTACCTAGGGAGGTGGTAGAATCTCCTTCCTTAGAGGTTTTTAAGGTCAGGCTTGACAAAGCCCTGGCTGGGATGATTTAACTGGGAATTGGTCCTGCTTTGAGCAGGGGGTTGGACTAGATGACCTTCTGGGGTCCCTTCCAACCCTGATATTATTCTATGATTCTATGACTGCAGTGGTGTGTTTCTAGGATCCTGGGCGGCAGGATAGCCAGCAATGCCTGGAATTAAAATGTACGGTCCTCTTCTATGAGTGAATGTGAGGCTCATGGGTGGTAAGCTAGGGCATACCTAGGATAATGGGAGCATGAGGGGCCCAGATTAATCTAAATCATAGGGTTTCCTGATGCCCCCAGAGAGTGATAACTGTTACTGACATGGTCTGGCAGGTCTTGAGGAGAGGAGAGACCCATCAATAGTCTCAACCGGATCTGGAGGGTCCTTCCATAGGGTGTGAACCACATGGGTCTTAACAAAGTTTACATCCATGAAGTTACCTAGAGGCCCCAACTAGGGCCTCTGGGGGATCTCAGAGCTTACCAGTAGTCAAATTAATAGAAGAGTCCAGAGCTGCGTTTGAAGCTGACTTGGGGTCTCTGCGCTGTGCTGATTATGGTGGGTGCTGGGAGCTTCTGGAGAGGGGACAAGAACAGCTCAGTCTGGGCCCCGCCCCAAGGGCTGGGGACCTGGCATTTCCCAGCCCTACTTCCTCCCAAATCTTTGCTGAACACATCAAGGCAAGCTGGCTGGGTCTCCCACAATATAGGCACAAGCCTGAAACCCGGCATCAGTGCTTCTCCAAGTCGGAGAGGTGCAGGCAAACCTGGTGGTCCTCCATGAGCTCTGATGCTGGGGAAGACCTGTGTGCCTGGGGTGTCGGAGGCCTGAGGGGTGGCAGCTTCTGGAAAAATTGAGGTACACTCATAACACCACTCTGTGAGGCAATCATCAATTGTGATGCACAATTCAATCAGGCTTTCCAAACTGGATAGAGAGTCCTCCCGGGCAAGCTCGTCCTTAATCTCCTAGTTTAACCCCAGGAGTAAATGGTGACACTGTACTGCCTCGTTCCACCCGGTGTCAGAAGCCAACTGACAAAATTCAGCAGTGTACTTGGCTACAGGCTGATCCCCTGCTGTAAGGCCTGAAGGGCTGCCTCGGTGGTCCGCACCAGATTGATGTCACCAAAGATGATGGACACAGCTTGAATGAATTCCTCTAATTGTTGCAAGAGGGGGCTGGACTTTTCCAGGAGTGGGGGAACTCAGGCCAAGGCTTCCCCAATCAACAAACTTAAGATGAGCCTCACCCGGGCCTGGTCCATGGGGAATGATTGGGGGTGTAGGAAGAACAGGAGCTGACATTGGTTCATAAATCCCCCAAAGTTGTCCCAGCCTCCATCAGATATGTCTTCGGCTCTAGGAGGGCACAGTAGGAGCATCCAGCTGAGCAATCTGTGCCTGCAGGGCCACATTCTGCGATTGCAGGGTTGTTACCACCACCTGCAGGTTCTGGATAGCGTTTGCCAGTTCTACTGGGGCCTTAGTAGAGTCCATGCTAGCGCTGAGACATAAATCTAACATCAAGAATTATAACATTCAAAAACCAGTAGGAGAACACTTCAATCTCCCTGGTCACTCAATAACAGACTTAAAAGTGGCAATTCTTCTGCAAAAAAACTTCAAAAACAGACTCCAGCGAGAAACTGCAGAACTGGAATTAATTTGCAAACTGGACACCATCAAATTAGGCTGAATAAAGACTGGGAGTGGATGGGTCACTACAAAACTAAATCAGTTTGTTAATCTGTAAGGTGCCACAAGTACTCCTCGTTGTTTTTACAAAAAACTAATTTCCCCTTGCTAAATACTCACACCTTCTTGTCAACTGTTTGAAATTGGCCACCTTGTTTACACTGGCCTCATTAACACTACAAAAGTGATTTCCACTCCCTCTTGTCAACTGTTGAGAATTGCCTACTTCCAACTTAAATTGAACTGGCTTGTTACCACTGACCCCCCACTTGGTAAGGCAACTCCCATCTTTTCATATGCTGTGTATTTATATCTCCCTACTGTATGTTCTACTCCATGCAGCTGATGAAGTGGGTTTTAGCTCACGAAAGCTTATGCCCAAATAAATTTTTTAGTCTCTAAAGTGCCACAAGGACTCCTCGTTGTTTTTGCTGATACAGACTAACATGGCTACCACTCTGAAATCTTGATCTTACTTTCACTGAGCTAAAGGGAAAAAAAAAGCTTGTTCAGTCTCTCACTGGCATTTTCTCCAGCCCTCAAATCATTTTTGTGGCTCCTTTCAAGTGTTTCAACAACCTTTTAAAAATGTTGACATCAGAGCTGGACACAGCATTCCAGTATCAGTCTCACCAATTTACATTCGTAAAAACACCACTGAGGAAGGCTGAAGAGGGGTGGACTGACATTTTTGATTCTTGTTGTCTTTGTTGGTTGCTCCATATTAAGTGGTAGGACAAGCTCAGCAATGAAGATATTCATAGCTGAACTCAGCAACCTCTTCCATCAGCACTGGTTTGGTTTAACGAATTACAAAACACGTTTACCAAGGAATGCTACTACATGGTCAGTGGTCACATGGGTGCTAGAAACTTCGGTGGTGCAATAAGGATGCCAATAATGTACATAGATTGAGAATCCAGCCAGACCATCGTAAGGTCCTAGGTAGAGATTGATCCGGGTGGTGCTTGATCTGCAAGGAGGCTATGCCTGTTTGGGATTTGCCATTATGATGATAATCCAGCACTATTTCTTATACAGATGCTGCCTTAAAATTAACTTGCCCTGTTACTCTCTTTGGTGTCAGGAGCTAATAAGCCACCATTTCCGCTTAGTTATGGTGATGTGATTTCACAAAATGCAACACCAATTACACATTGCTGAGTGAGAGTCATCATACTTAAAATTGTAAGCAAATACTCCTCTTTTTGGGTAAATTAAAATCAACTCTCTTAGTTAGAGAAACACAATCATTCCTAGTGTATCTCCAGAACTGATTTGAAAACAACTGACCAACACAAGAGCGTAAAACCACTGGAGACATTCCCATTGGTGTGAGTTTTTAGAACTGCATGTGAATGCTCAGAGTACCACAAGTTCAAAAAATGAACACTTAGCAGAACCTATTCTGTTTGACTCTGTGTATTTAAATGTATATCTGTGTATCTAAGCGTACTTGATATATTTTTGGTTTGGAGGATATAAGTGTGAATGTAATGAATTGAAATGGCAGAATAACTCCTATGCAGTGCATGATCATACCATATAAGAGCCTATTTTAGTATTCAGGAAATAGAATTAAAATTTGTCTCCAGAGAACAACATAGAAAGTGTCTATTCTCTCTTTTCAGGGCACATCATCAGGATAAGCCGCATCATTCTCCTATTTACCTGCTCTGCCAAGCACTGAAGGCTTCAAACTCTAATTTAAAGACTCTAAAGTAAGAAATTGTTCCTTCCTTTTTTAAAAAAACTCCCCTTTTTACTGCTGTTATCCCAGAAATGCTGCAGCCCGGACAGCTCTTCACCATGGCTGCTCAGGAATTTGTTTAACTGTCCAGTCAATGGGGCAGATTCGCAGCTAGTGTAAACTGTCATAGCTCCATTGAAGTCAAGTTTCTCCAGCTGAGTATTTGCTGGAATACAGGTGGGTTTGGCTTATATGGCAGCCCAGCAGTTCAATGACATTTACCCCAATTCCCATAGCAACAAGTCAGCAGGAGAGACAGAGCTAAGCAGTGTGGCTGGGTGTGGTTTAAGGTCAGGATAGACTCAGGAGATTGGAGAGAAGACTTTAGGTATTTTAATCTTAGGTATTTCTAAGTTGCCTGTCACCGTGGTGTCTAAACCCTGTCAAACACTCCCCAGGTTATGCAAGACCCGACTTACGCAAATTCACACTTATGAAAAAAGCTCCGTAAGCCAGAAATAGAATTTTCGAGTCGTGGAAATTTTTGTGTAATGTATGGTATAAGTTTCAGACTTATGCAAAATTTGAGTTACGCAAGGCTTTCTGGAATGGAACGATTGCGTAAGTCGGGGAGCGTCTGTAGAAGTCTATTTGTTTACCATTCATGTATCCTGGTTTGATCTAATTTCTCCCTGATTCAAAGGTGGGGTTTTGGAAGGGAGCAAGGGATGTTTTTTCTCTCTCTCTGTGTACCATTGTGATGGTTCTCAGGGCACCCAGGACTGAGAGTCACCTCGGTACCCCCTGAATCACTGAAGTCCTCAAATCATGGTTTAAAGACTTCAAGTTACAGAGACTCCACCATTTACACCATTGAAACCTGCAAGTGACCTGTGCCCCATGCTGCAGAGGAAGGCAAACCCCCCCAGCATCTCGGCCAATCTGAGCTGGGGAAAAATTCCTTTCAAACTCCAAATATGGCAATCAGTTAGACCCTGAGCTTGTGGGCAAGACCTGTCTAGCAGATACCTGGGAAAGAATTCTCTGTAGTAACTCAGAGCCTTCTCCATCTAGTGTCTCGTGACCAGCAGTTGAGGATTTTTGCTACCAGCAGTCTCCAATGGACCATATGCCATTGTAGGCAGTCCCATCATGCCATCCCCTCCAGACTAACCTGATCTCCTTCATTGAGAAGATAACTTATTTTTTAGACAAAATAAATGCAATAGATCTAATCTACCTGGATTTAAGTAAGGCATTTGATACAGTTCCATATGGGAAATTATTAGTTAAATTGGAGTAGATGGGGATTAATATGAGAATTTAAAGGTGGATAAGGAACTGGTTAAAGGGATGACCACAGTGGGTCATACTGAAAGGTGAACTGTCAGGCTGGAGGGAGGTTGCTAGTGGAGTTCATAGAATCATAGAAGATGAGGTCTCTTCCAACCCTAAGGAGTTCATCTAGACCAACCCCTTGCTCAAAGCAGGGCCAACCCCAACTAAATCATCCCAGCCAGGGCTTTGTCAAGCTGGGCCTTAAAAACCTCTAAGGATGGAGATTCCGCCACCTCCCTATGTAACCCATTCCAGTGCTTCACCACCCTCCTAATGGAATAGTGTTTCCTAATATCCAACCTAGACCCTGCCATGCACTGCAACTTGAGACCATTGCTCCTTGTTCTGTCATCTGCCACCACTAAGAACAGCCCAGCTCCATCCTCTTTGGAACCCCCTTCAGGTAGTTGAAGGCTGCTATCAAATCCCCCCCACTCTTCTCTTCTGCAGACTAAATAAACCCAGTTCCCTCAACCTTTCCTTATAAGTCATGTGCTCCAGCCCCCTAGTCATTTTCGTTGCCCTCCACTGGACACTCTCCAATTTGTTTACATTCTTTCTGTAGTGAGGGGGGACCAAAACTGGATGCTATACTCCCGATGTGGCCTCACCAGTGCTGAATAGAGGGGAATAATCACTTCCCTCAATCTGCTGGCAATGCTCCTACTAATACAGCCCAATATGCCATTGACCTTCTTGGCAACAAGGGCACACAGTTGACTCATATCCAGCTTCTCATCCACTGTAATCCCCAGGTCCTTTTCTGCAGAACTGCCACTTGGCCAGTCGGTCCCCAGCCTGTACCAGTGCCTGGGATTCTTCCGTCCTGTGTGCAGGACTCTGCACTTGTCCTTGTTGAACCTCATCAGATTTCTTTTGGCCCAATCCTCCAATTTGTCTAGATCACTCTGGACCCTATCCCTACCCTCCAGCATATCTATCTCTCCCCCAAGCTTAGTGTCATCCGTGAACTTGCTGAGGGTGCAATCCATCCCATTATCCAGATCATTAATGAAGGTGTTTAACAAAACCGGCCCCAGGACCGACCTCTGGGGCACTCTGCTTGATACCAGCTGCCAACTAGACATCAAACTGTTGATCACTACCCATTGAGCCCAATGAGCTAGACAGCTTACTAGCCACCGTATAATCCAATCATCCAATCCATACTTCTTAAGCTTGCTGGCAAGAATACTATGGGAAACCGTATCAAAAATTTTGCTAAAGTCAAGGTATATCATGTCTACCACTTTCCCCATATCCACAGAGTCAGTTATCTCATCAATGAAGGCACTTAGGTTGGTCAGGCATAACTTGCCCTTGGTGAATCCATGTTAGCTGTTCCTGATCACCTTCCTTTCCTCCACATGTTTCATAATGGATTCCTTGAGGACCTGCTCCATGATTTTTCCTGAGACTGAGGTGAAGCTGAGCGGTCTGTAGTTCCCTGGATTCTCCTTCTTCCCTTTTAAAAAAATGGGCACTATATTTGCCTTATTACAATCATCCAGGATCTCCCCTGATTGCCACGAGTTTTCAGAGATAATGGCCAATGGCTCTGCAATCACATCAGCCAACTCTCTCAGCACCTTTGGATGCATTAGATCTGTCCCCATGGACTTGTGCATGTCCAGCTTTTCTAAATAGTCTTTAACCTCCGCCGCATACTGTGGTGCCCCAGTGCAGCAGTCTGGGAGCTTTTCTTTGTTCCTCAGGGATTGGTCTTGGGACCAATCTTATTTAACATTTTTATTACTGACCTTGGCACAAAAAGTGAGAGTGTACTAATAAAATTTGCAGATGACACAAAGTTGGCAGGTATAGCCAATATGGAGGAGCACCGTAATATCATACAGGAAGGTCTCAATTATCTTGTAACCTGTAATAATAGATATGGGATGAAATTTAATAGTGCAAAATGCAAGGTCAGGCATTTAGGGACTAAGAACAAGAATTTTTGCCATAAGCTGGAAGTGACATAGGAGGAGAGAGACCTGGGTGTATTGGTTGATCACAGAGTGACTATGAGCCATCAATGTGGTGTGACCAATAAAAAGGCTAATAGAATCCTAGGATTCATCAGGTGAGGTATTTCCAGTAGAGGTATTTCCAGTATTGCCATTATACAAGGCACTGGTGAAACCTCATCTGGAATATGGTGTGTAATTCTGGTCTCCCATGTTTAAGAAACATGAATTCAGACTGGAACAGGTGCAGAGAAGGGGTACTCGGATGATCCTTGGAACGGAAAACCTACCGTATGAGAGGAGACTCAGGGGGCTTGGCTTGTGAGGCCTAAGCAAAAGAAGGCTGAGGGGAGATGTGATTGCTCTCTATAAATACATCAGAGAGATAAATAGCAGGAGGGAGAGGAATTATTTAGGTTAAGTGGACACAGGAACAAATGGCTATAAACTCACCATCAACAAGTTTAGGCTTGAAATTAGGCAAAGGTTTCTAACCATCAGAGGAGTGAAGTTCTGGAACAGCCTTCGAAAGGGAGCCGTGAGGAGCTGGCTAAGTGTATGGAGGGGGTGGTACGATGGGACTGCCTACAGTAGCATGCGGCTCATTGGCAACTGCCTGTAGCAAAAATCCCCAACTGCTAGACACGAGACACTAGATGGGGAGGGCTCTGAGCTACTACAACCAATACATCAGAAAATGATTATAACTTTGCAAAAGTACTCATTAATGTGACACAAAGGTCCAGAAAGGAGCCTCTTATAGCATCTGTACTTGCAAGGGCATCTATAAATAGGGAAATCAGGGAGCTGCAACAGGAGGAGTTTGGCTCCAATACGACACATTTCCGAAACAAAGTCTGACAACTCAGACAAGAAACAGAAAATGGCCAGCCTGACAACAGCACTGTGATGGGTTGGGTCACAGAAATTCCCTCAAGACTGTCACTAGATGTGCTGGGTTACCACTGAGAACAAACCCCCCTGCCAGAAAAGGGTTCCCACTGCTCCCATCTTGCTGGACTGGACACACCAGTTGGCTCCAGTGCAGACCAAGAGGTTGGGCCACACCCCCCTGAAGTTCATAGAAACTGAGATTCACTCAGTTTAAGGGCTTCTTAGTTAACAGGGACTTTCCCAGTACCCAGTATTCAGTCTTTCTGGGAGCCTAAACCCCAAATAAATCCGTTTTACTCAGGATAAAGCTTTATACAGGATAAATTAGTAAATTGTCTGCCCTCTATAACACTGATAGAGAGATATGCACAGCTGTTTGCTCCCCAAAGTATTAATCACTTACTCTGGGTTTATTAATAAACCAAAGTGATTTTATTAAGTATAAAAAGTAGGATTTAAGTGGTTTCAAGTAATAACAGAGAGAACAAGGTAAGTTACTAAGTAAAATAAATCAAAATATGCAAAGCTAACTTAATACACTGAGGATCTAGTTACAGGTAATATCTCACACTCAAAGATGTTCCAATAAGCATGCTTCACAGACTGGATTCTTTCCTAGCCTGGTCCCAATCCTTTCCCCTTGTACAGTCCTTGTTAGTTCCAGCTTACATCACAGGTGATAAACAGGGGTGTTCTCCTGACTAGCAGCCTCTTGAGCCAGCTGAAGACAAAATGGAGGGACTTCCAGGGCCTTTTATATTCTCTCTCTTGTTGGCAGAAACCCCTTTGTTCTTCTGTGCAAAATCACAGCAGCAAGATGGAGTTTGGAGTC